AGTAACACCCTGAGGGGAACTTCTTTAGATTTGGCACGAGCTTGGTCTCAATGGTGAACTAAGTAGATTTTGTTGGTCAATGTCACCTTTACCGCATGAAAGTCTTTTTTGGTGATAACTCAATAATTCCCACTTGAGCCAAAAGCTCATGATAATGTTTTATTACTCAACACTTTAGTTCAGAGACACAAAGGGAGATTGTGTCCACATTTCCTGAAATTTGTACATTTTGTGCAAGGTTGTAATTTGAAATAAGTACGGTTAGAAAAGCATGAACTCAGCTTTGCCATTTTGTAAAACCAGACATTTAGTGTAAGCAGGCACATATTGCTTTTAAGCAGATTGTAATCTGATCTACATAGTGACAGATAACTCCTTGTGCCATTGACACTAACGGCTGTGGAATTGAGTAGGGACACTGGGAGACCAATGCAGTCTTGCATCCATGTCCAATCAGTATGAAGCAATGAAACCTGTCACAATAATTATGACAGAACTATTGAGACGGTTTTGTTGGCGACAGCCTCTCTGTCCCAAAAGTGTTCCCCTTGATTGGCCTTGGTAACTTGCAAAGTCATTGTCATTTCTCACAACTTCATTACTTGGTGACATGAAGCAATTTCCATCGTCTATGCTCTTCCCACTCTGTTACCCCTAAAGGGAGTTCACGCCATATGTGCATGACAACACCCTGTTGGATAGACAAGGTGATGCCTTCTTAGAGCGTCTCTCAGACAGATCGCTCATTAATAAAGTGAGCCTTATCATTTTATCATAATGATTTAGTTATCTAAGATATGTTGGATTGTTGATGTCGGATTCAGGTGAGGATAACGGCTCCAGACTGTGGCCTTCATGGGATGAATTTAGAAATGGCTCGCTTTATTATTGCTCAGGCTTATTAATCCTCAATAAAGTTAATGCTCACATCAGGAGTCTGGCTGACACCTTCAAGCTGCTCTTTCAAAGCAGCAGGGTAATGAGTAGGCTGCTGTTTATGTCTCACCCCACTCTTGTTCAGAACATTCAGGCACTGTATTCAAGTGTAAGTCCATATTCAACCATGTGACTATGCTTATTTTAGACGTTACTTTGCAGATTAGGAATTTACATACCAAATATTTTAAAGGCTTTTATAATAAAACATTTCAACATATAATTAACTACCCAACATTAGTAAATGCTTAAACATAAATCAATTATTTATAACTAAACAGTTTAATGTGCTGTAATGTTTTTTTTTTACTTTTAATACATTTTTCTATTAATACTTATACACATCCTTAATACTATTAATACCCTTATTTGGATAGTTCAGACTTGGTTCTTATCACAGTTGAGACAGTATTAAACAATAGAAGGGTTGTTTGCAGTCTTCACCTTCTTTGGTGTTAAAATGACCAGAATTACTTTTACATAAAGTCAGGACTTGTACTTGTACCTTCACATTTATATACAGTGTACTGCTTTTTGTTAACCAGAGGGTCTGAATAATTCCTTCAACGCTGCATAACTCACACACACCGACTCACCAACAAACAACAAGCTCTCCATGCAGCACTTTAACATCAGATGAGTAGGTTAGTGTTTTAATTTCACTCTGTGTCTGAGAAATCTCTCTCACCACTCCAACCCTCGTCCTGCTGTGAAATATTCCATCCACTCAACTGTAAATAACTTCTAACAAGATTATCAGATTATCCTTCATCCAGGGCCACTCTGCGACTGCTGGGCACAGTCACTGCAATAATGTAAAGATCCATGTAAGATAATCAGAAGGCACCACATTTTCAAACGGCTTCTAAAGCTCAAGGGCAGCCGGGAACCCTTTTGCTATATTTGCAGTGGAAATATATTTCTTTGGTTGCCACTAAAAAGCCACATTGGATATAAAGAGTATAGTTGAAACAGGTCTATAGTCAAGAAAAGTCTCCCTGTGTTCTTTTCTTGTCTGTTAAATTGGCTGTCTAGAAACGGGGCCAAGTTTAATTGAATTGACAGAAACAGATTAATCCCAAAACTTTTCTCATGAATAAATGCTGCTCTTTATTGGACAACCAGGAGAAAAAGTATGATGGGTATTAAACTGTAGAGAATATTTGCTGTGTTTTGCTGATGTGAAGTAGATGATACATTATACTACATTGATGCTGGTGTTAATCATACCAAAGCTAGGCAACAGTACATTTATCTAATGAGAGTATTCCGTAGTCATCCTGTTTTTGTTTTATGGTTGTAGTTTAAACTAGATTTAATGTCCATAGCGACCTGGCCGGGGCCGAGCCCAAGGAGAAAAACAAAAGGCTCAAACTCTTTCCTCTGTCACCATAGCAAATATATTTATATGCAAATCAGCCAGTGAAATAAAATGATTCAAATAGCGTGATAGGAAGATTTTATATGTAATCTGTGGGGTTTGAGACGAGGACGGTGGAGGAAGGGAGATTGCTGGAGATGCACGGGGATGAGAGTGGAAGTCCAAGTCTAATCTAAAAACTGTCTCATCCCTGTCTCAGTTACAGAGGACGGATGAATTGCATGTAGCAGTCGCATTTAACTCGTGGATTTACACGTGTGAAGCTGATTTTGTCAGTGCAGAGAGAAAAGTTGACTTGACTGAGATCTAAAGCTTAAAGCTACATGTGAGATATATCTACACCACAAGCTGTTTCAATACATTAATGAAGAGAGGTGCAGATTTTATGTTGGGTTGTTTCTATAAGGTACCTAAAAATGTGTCCTTACAAAAGTCCTTAAATGTGTAATTGCAAGTGAAATGTCTTTTCTCCAAAGCAAACACGGTGACTGGCGTATGCTCGCTTCTCTGTCCAAATGTGGTTATCGCACCTGCCTGTTCCTTCTGTTTGTCTGCGAGTGTCTTGTCCGGTTTTCTCTCCGTCTGTTTCTACTGAATCCGTCTCTCTGTTTGCTTGGTGTTTGTTTCCCTGCGTCTGGCAGCGTCTTTGGCTTCCTCTCTCCGTCTGCTGCATCTCTGTTTGCTCTCGGTTTTCTCTATTTGTACTCGATCCAGCTCTGCCATTCAAACGGGGAAATGTAGGAATGAAATGCAGAACAATACTTTAAGTAAAGCAATCATTAGCGGAACACAAGTATTTAATAAAGGGTTTCTAACACAATGTAAAGTAGCTGTGAGCAGATGTGTTTGTTATTGGTAACTCCTCCTATGTGAGTGGAAGCTGATGTAGTGAATGACAATATAATATTCATTCAATCATATAAAATACAGACTTCATAGGATAAATTATAATTACTGACAGATATTGTGCATTAATAAATCACTCACTTTTCTTTTCCTAGTCATTTCCAAGATGATGTCCCAGTATCCTGACTGTGAAACTGGTCCAATCACATGAACCTTGTTTGGAGAAAAACATTTCCTGTATGTTAACTGCCTTCCCAGACTGATGTAAACAATTTAGGAGAACACATACTAGCGGAAGACATGCAGCGACAGAATCGATGGCTAGCAACCTGCTTTAATGGCCTTCTGACAAGACGTTGCATGATGTCAGTGGCAGATTGCTAATGTCAAAGATTGTTTGTTTGATCCTTGTTGCCGGCTGCCAAGAGGCAGTGGAAGCAAATCCACTAATAGCGTGCATCTCTGTCTTTCCCCTCGCTTCCTCTCCCTTATTTTCATCTCATCCCTTTTCTTCTTTCTCTCTCTCTGTCTCTCACTTGCTCTCCTCGTCACTGACACACACACACACACACACACACACACACACACACACACACACACACATAGATGGTCTGGTCATTGGACCAAGAAAAATCAAAGACAACCTTCAATGTTAAAAGCAGACTGAAGCTGTGTGTAGTGTCATAGCACAGCCTTGGATGTTGCCATGGAGCTACAAATGCTGGTGCGCTGATGTTTTCTTTTCTTTTCAGTTTCCTCCCACTTCAGCTTCAGCAGCATTTATATCACTGTGCTTTGTGCTTTTTGTCTCCAGCTGCATTACTATGAACAAAATGCAGATTAATGATAATAATTTGACAAAGAAAGTTGTCAAATATCAAATGAAAAACAGGAAAAGGAATAAATCTTTCTTAGAAGAAAAACTACGAATGTAGCAAATCATTTCTCAGTGACAACTGAAAAAAATCTAAGAAATGAAAGGAAAAGAAAACAATTGAAATAACTTATTTGCATTCATCTCATGACTGACCTGAAAGAGAGATCCCTCCTGTAATAATCTTTAATAATAATAATAAATGCTGATAATAAGCTTCAAAGCACTGACTCCTAAACCTGCTATAGTTCGGTACTACCCCATATGCTTGGGTCCTCTGTGTGGATAATGCAAATTGAATGTCTTGATTACAGTCAAATCTGTTGCATGAAAGAACATTTCATCGCATTTGTTAAAAAATATTTTTTAACCATCTCTTCAGTTGTTTTTTTCTGTGACATGTAGCTTTGTGAAAGACGTCCTTCAGTTGGCTGCTCCTTCTTTCTAATATACCACTAACCAATCTGCGAACCTTGCACACGCTGACACTCGAGCTGCCTCCAGAGTGCAGGCTGGACAAACTCTAAAGTCAAGCATGAACACAGAGGCTGACAGGCCAATTATCAGATGTATCTTCGTTCTGCATCAGACATGAGAGTCCTGTTGCTTTCATTCAAGCTGGTATGACAACAACAGGCACAGCCTTCACAGGAAATCAAGATCGACAGAGTTGTAAAACTCATCTTGTCATACGGTTTCATCCGGTGGGTTTTCACATTTCAAGCTCCAGAAGATGTTTGTCAGATGTTGACTTTTACCACCCTGAAGTGTCCAATGGGAAGAACACTCTTTACTGTGGTTGCTTTATCTGCACTGAATGTAGTTTACAGTGGAAACGTCATGTTTACCTGATGTTTATTAAAAAACAGAGAGTATGACTTTTGTGTTGCAACATCTTTTTGTTTTATCAAACCTCCTCTCTCCAATCCTGACCCAACTGAAGAACTTGTCTTTGTTTCTTAGGTGAATGTCGCTCCTGCATGTGTCAGAGCCTTGACCAAGATGCTGTACTGTCCATACTGTCGCGGCATGCCCGGGCTGAAACCCTGTCACAACTACTGTCACAACGTCATGAGGGGCTGTCTGGCCAACCAGGCAGACCTCGATCCTGAATGGAACGTCTTCATCGGTAAGAAAAATAAATAGATTGTGATTAAAATCGAGCGCTACTCTCATTTTCCTTTTGAAATCTTTCTAGGTGTGTGTCTGTCAGTCTTTGTGCACACTTGTACTTCGAAGTCTGCATGTTACTTTTCCAAATGTCTTTGAATAGTCTCTGTGGGAATTCAGGATGTGCTGTGTTAGATTCAGCTTTAAAGGATTTACAGAGACAAAACTGAAATCTTATTTGTGCAACCATTCCCTCTTTTTTATTCTGACTGAAACACTGTGTGCTTTTGCTGGCGCCCTGGCATAGTGCTTAAAGCTTTGGTCCCTGCTGTTCGGGATTGATAAAGGAGAGCAGATCCTAGGAAAACACATTTTCTATAGTGTTTCCAGCTGAGCTCAGTGAGTAATATAGCACTTCAGTTAGGCTGTAAGTAGCTGGCTGCTGTAAGCCCTCCTGTTAAATGGATACAGAGGAGGCACATAGAGTGTTCCCTCTGGATCTTTTGTAGGCCGATGCTTTATTTGTTATGTACCCCAATCCCATCCTCCCACCCATGCTAACAGATTTTTTTTTTTAAATGGGGCGACAGAATTTTTTTTAAGAGACATCCCTGAAGACCGTGTGTCAAGTGAACTACACTTCTAAGCTTTTGGCTGTTTCGTGACAGGCCTGTCGTTCGAGAAACCATCAGATGACGTACCGCTCATTCTCTCCGATGGCATGTCTGAAGTCTCAGATCAACACAGGCCCCCATGCACTGAATGAAATGTCTCACAGCTTTATGACATGTGTTAAAAAGTTAGTGTCTTGTTCGGTTGTGAAGAGGCAAATCTATTGTCGCAAAGGGACGCTGCGCTTGACAGTAATGGGAAAAGCTGTTGTTGCAGCATACTGATGAATCTGGTTAGACAAAAACACCCTTGAGGTGTTGAAAAAGTGGATTTTTAATTTAAACCAGTTTTTGTGCAGATGTTCCTTTTTTACTCTTGCTTTGTAAAGACAATGTTGTTGAGGGTATAATTAGAAATGTTGAACACAGGGGATGTTTATTTTCACCATGAAAGACTCATTTTTGATGTCTACTGACATTTTGTATTCATTATCTGTTGCTAAAGAACTTCGATTTGCTTACCATGCAGCTCGCAAGAAATATTGATTCGCCTTTCAGAGACAACTTCTAAATGTATCACAGGTCAGTTCTCACCAGTGGAGCACATCTTTGCATTATAGAAATTTATGGATTGAGCCTGTGCATGGTCTGTCACTGTCATCCCTTCAAATCATCACTTATTAGAGAAGGTTACATTAGAGATACGACCTTCAATTTTTTAAGAACCCTCAATGGCATTTACCTGTGAACTTCGTCCACACTTAAATGTCACTATTGACAGCATTGATTGGTAGGACACAGGGGACGGAGACGAGAGGCTTTTTTATTTAGTTTAAAACTTCCACAGCGAGAGAAAAAAATGAGAAGATGTCTATTAACCGTGTAAATCCAGCTAAATCTTTTATGGATTTATGCAGTAAATACAAATGTTTTATTGATAATGAACAAAGCAAGAAAAATAATTTCGAAGTCTGCTCAGTTCCATAGAAAGCGAAAAACAAAACCAAATAATGATTTCCACCCTTCATAAACAAAACTGAGTTTACATCATTTTTACTCAAGTGGAACAAATCAAAATTTAAAAAGGCCATTTCAACACAAAGCAGCTTGACTTGTTTTGCATTTAATCAATGTAAACTAAACATATTCAAAAAATTACAGTAATCGAAATAAAGAGGAATTCCAAACAATTCTTGTGCAGGGAAGCTAAAGCAGTAACAGTGGAGAACAACTTTAATAGATACAGTTCATACAAACACAAGCAGTTTGGATATTTACACACTGCAGCTTCTTCAAGCATCAGAGGGGAGAGAAGAACAAATGTGCCAGTGCTGTGTTTATTCCTGTTCTACACTGAAACAGCAGTGACCTTGGTGAATACTTTGATGTAGCCTATATACAATGATCCAAACGGAAAAGAATAATAATCTCAGCATCCATGCCATGTGTTTCAAATCTTCTGTCTGGGTACAGTAGATTACAGGTTGTAAAGGTTACTGTGATGCCTTTCAGACTGCAGATGGTAGACAGACTGTCAGTGAACAATGAGTATAAACCTGAGGGAGGATGTAATTTACCTGTTCTTACCTGTGCTGAGTGATGTTCGGCATCCTGACTGTAAAGTGTGTGTGTGTGTGTGTGTGTGTGTGTGTGTGTGCATGTGTGCCTGTGTGTGTGTGTTCAGATGTTCAGGGAAGGAATTCATGGTTTGGCCAATGGATGATACCAGACCATCAGTCACCTGCCATCATGACAAATTTACCCAGCTCTGCATCATGACAGACACATCATTATCATTTTTCTTGTCAGCACCTTGTTAAAATACTGTCTGAGAGAAGGAGAGAGAGTGGTAGAGAGGGGAGGACTCGCGCTGCTATTTACCCGCCACTGTTTTTCAGGCTTACTCCAGGATCAATGGCATTTTGGACTGGCAAGTGACATAATTAATTCAGCTGCAGATGGCCAAAATTAATGGTAGATTTTAATTGACTGTTTGATAAACAGGTGGCACAGTGGTAAAGTGGTTAGCGCTGCCTCCTCACAGCGAGTGGCTGTTCTGTGTGGAGTTTCCATGTTCTCCCTGTGTCTGTGTGGGTTTCCTCGAGATGCTGCGGCTTCCTCCCACATTCCAAAGACATCCAGGTTAGATTAATTGGCAACTGTAAATTACCCGTAGGTGTAAGTGCGAGAATGAATGATTGTTCCTCTCTATATGTCAGCCGTCAGACTTGTGATAGACTGCTAACCTGTGCAGGTTGTTCCCCTCCTACACCCATTGTTAGCTTCACTTCCTTCCATCTCCCCTGTGACCCTCAAAAGGATGGGTGGGTGGGTGGGTGGATGGATGGACAGATCATAAACTCCTTACAAAAAAATCTTTTGTCCACAGCCTCTCAACTGCTCAACATGGTAGAACTGTTAAACTTTGGATTTCTCCACATTTTAAAACAAGGGGCTGTAAGACCTGGTGTCAGAGTGGCCAGAATGTTCCAGAGCAGCGTTAGATTGAGTAAATACATCATTAGATTAAAGAGTAAAAACATCTATTTGATAGTTTAATACATAGTTAAGTTGGTCAGTGGACCGTCAAAACATCCATAAAGTTTTTACTGGCCCTGTCGCTGACATGCCTGTCTGTCAAAATGTCATGAACTTCATGTGTGTACACGTGTTACAGACATTTGTATTCAGGATTCTATAGTGGTTTGTCTATTCTCTGTTAAAATCTCTAACACTACTAGAAATCCCACAATACAAGCCTAACCCATTTATGGTTATGCATCTTCTCTCACTGATCACGCAGAAATGAAAATGATTTGCAAAGTCAATGATGGAGTATGGGAAATAGATTTTTAATATCAGCCCATAAATCGATCGAATAAAAAAAGATTCAATCTCTGTAAAATGGTGGTTTAAGTGTTAAATATTTTTGTCAGTGTATATGAGAATGGAAAAGCAGACAGGAGGAAGGAAAGAGCAGCATGGCTTAGAGAATGGTCACTTCTATTTTAATGGCTTTATAGTGGATGTTATGAACTCCTGGCCTTAAATAAAAGGTGGCTTGTAAACCATTGTATTCCCTGCATACACTCGGCTGTGCCTGTGAACACATTATTTCTCCCCTAATTGAGATATAGGCTTCAGTTGTCCTCTGTTGAGTCCTTTGACACCACAATGTAAGCAATCCTCATTGATTTTATTTGCTCATTTCTTTTTAATTGTGTGGATTGTGTCCCAGTGTAATTGGACCTCCCCACAACCCCACAACCCACCAGTCCAAGAGAATTCAAGCCAATATATTTTCTGTCCTCCAGGAAGGGCTTTCTGTGACGCCTGTGAAATAGTGAAGATGAACATCCTGCCAGTGTTTTACTTTTAAACGATATGGATTGCTTGGCAGAAACCAAGCCTGCTTTGCTGTATGGTGTAGCCTTCGAGATGTGTGCTCACTCACATCCACATGCTTGAGGAGTATTCATTATACTTTAAGATTCCTTAAGTATGACATAAAAATACTGCATCTTTTAGTTCAAGAGACATTTAGCTTACATACTCAAACTGGCTGAGAATGAAGCATGATGGTCTCAGTAACAGACATGACAGGAACAAACAAGCCAGCAAGTGGGTTTCTGCCCGTCACTCTGCTGAAGGCTGGATGACTCACTTAGCCTCGTGGAAGTGATCTCCATATTCTCAGCATCATCAAGAACCAGTATCTTTTCTGTCTAATTGCTACTGGCTGTGCAGAATCTCCAAAAAGCTGCTTTTCTGTATATTGGCCAGAATGATGCAGCTACACTGTATAAGCAAGCAACTCTTTGTAATGCTATAAGTTTCCACAGCAGACGGCCAGCCACATTTTCTTTAGTAATCTTACAGCCTACGCATGCAATGCACACTGAATGTTATTACTTTATTCTTGAGAGGATATCATTATCCACAAAATACATTGTCATTATTTTAATCAAATATACAGTTACATTTTATTGCATGTGTTAGCCTGTTCATATTCCATTCACCTAAACGAAATGTACACAATGGTTTTCTTGCAGAGAAATGACAAGATTGAGACCACGCGATTAGTCATTTAGCTTAGATTAGCACAAAGAATAGAAGCAGGGGTGAAGAGCTAAGCTAGCTCTGTCTAAAGACACTTTGAAACTAAATTATCAACTGTAGGGGGCGTTCACACTCGTGTGCAGGGCAGGCTGTTGGAATGAGTTACACTTCTCTTCCACAACCTTTCCCATGAAGAACAGAGCTACGCTACGATAGTAATGAAAGGTAAATAATATTGGAGACATTACATGGCCCACTTGGTGAAAATGTGCACCTGCTTCTGCTGAGTCTACATGATTTCCCTTGAAATGACTCGTCTTCGCCTGTTAGATATGACTGTGTGTTATTA